GCTGGGGCGTGTCTAAACCACCACTTAGGGTTCTTCTGGGGTACACAGGCCCCAGAAATGCAAGCAGTCCCTTGGGAGAGACAAGGAAGATGTCAGAGTTATGGCTGGCAATCTTCTTCAGGGAGAAATTGGCATTTACCATCAGAGGCCATGGAAAGGGCACTGAAGAAAAAAGAGTACAGGAAAAGGTAAGGCTCAAGGCAGGGACCGGAAATACTCATTGGAGGAACTATGTATATTTCCTGTTATAGTTTAAAGCATTTGTAATGAAAAATTATAGTCTAACCTAAAGATTACTAAGCCAATTATCTTGTATGAAGAGCCTTAGAAATCTACCTAGCTTTTGACCTAGTAGTTAAGCATTTAGGAAATAATGAGAGCCAGACAAAAATCTACAAAGGTATAAGCAAAAAGAAAAAAAGGTATTAGAGAAAGGAAGGATTAAAAAAGACCAATTAATCTTAAGAGTTTTTTCTTTTTCTTTTCTTTTTAGAGACAAGGTCTCACTCTGTCGTCCAGGCTGGAGCATAGTGGTGTAATCATAGCTCACTGTAGCCTCCATCTCCTGGGTTTGAGTGATCTTCCCACCTCAGCTTCCTGAGTAGTTAAGACTACAGGTGCATACCACCACATCCAGTCTTTTTTTTTCCCCCTCTTATAGATGAGGTCTCACTGTGTTAGCCAGGATGGTCTCAAACTCTGGCTTCAAGCAATCTTCCCATCTTGACTTCCTAAAGTTTGGGATTATAGGCATGAGCAACTGCATCCAGCCCCCAAGACTTTTTTGAGGCTAAGAGGGTGAAAACCAATGTTGTTTTCACTCCAACATTCAATCATTCCAATGTTCCTCTCTGCAGTGGGGCGGGAGGGAGTAGAGCAGTATAACCATCACTTCTTTTGCACTGTTACAGCTACTGTAACAAAGTGACTGTGGAGAGCAATTTTGGAGCTCCAGGGAGAGCCTTCCTCACTACAGGAAGTCAAGTTTGCTTTAGGGAAACTGATGACAGATTCTAGAAAAGGCCAATGATAGGTGAGCTGATAAAGCATGCTATTCTGTCTGCAGACACTAAGGCTAATGGAAAACCTTCACATTCCTCCCTGAAGTTGCCATTTCAGTTGGGAAATTGGACAAAAGATCCAGTTTTTCAAAAGGCTCCAACCCATGAAGCAAATCTGCATTTCGCATGGCTGGGTTTGAAACAGCATGCCTCTCCTTCCCAGCTCGTGACCCCAGAGACATGCACTTCAGGTCAAATCTCTGTAAAACAGCGTATTCTGGCAACTAGGAAACTGAGCTCATTCTTGATGTCAGATTATATGAATAACTAATACATGCTTAGAGTTTTATGGTTAGGAAATGTGGTCCTGAGAAGCTCATTGATAGGTTTATTAGTTATTAGTATCCTTGTTTTATTGATTTACTCAAATCAGCTGCTCAGACCTGGGAGTTAAATTCTCTTTACCAGATGCCAAAAACGTTTTTCTTACCACATCATGGCGCCACAGGTTAAGGAATATAGTGCAGGGTTCTGAATCTCTCTTGCAGGTCGGTGCTTCCCAAACCTAGCTGTTCGACAAGTCTCCCAAGAGGGGTCTGAAATGCAGGTCCCTAGGGGCCTTGCCCCTAGATTCTGACCCAGAGTGCTGTTGCTGAGTCTGTATTTTTAAATGGTTGACTGGGGGTCTAATGTACAGTCAGGTTTGAGAGCTGCTGTTCAGTTAAATCAAAGACCAATGCTATAATTTGTACTTGATATAACTTTTAGGGTTTGGTTTCTAAAGACGGAAATCTGTGTGTTTTAGATCAGTGGTTTCCTACCTTCTAAAACCGACCTTACCTTTAATGAATCTGTTGAAATCTATGGATCTTTCACTAAGAAACACGCAAATACACTTTTATGTACAATTCTAGAGGGCTCTATCGGTTTCCCAATGCTGCTATAACAAATAGTCACAAGTATGGTAGCTTAAAACAACATCGATTATCTTACAGTTCTGGGTGTCAGAAGTTGGACAGGGTCTCACTGGACTAAACTCAAGGAGCTGCCTTTCTGGAGGCTCTAGAGATAATTCATTTCGTGGTCTCTTCCATCTCCTAGAAGCTGACTGTGTTACTTGGCTCATGGGTCCCTTCTTTTATCTCCAAAGCCAGCAATGTGGCATCTCTCTGACCCCACTTCCCCTTCACACATCTTTCTCTGGCTACCACAAGGAAAGGTTCTCTGCTTTTAAGGATTCACATAATTAGACAGGATGAAAGCCATAGGTCAGCTGAGTTGGCTCTCCTTTAAGAAACCTCCTGAGAAGCCTACCACCCAAATAACACATGCTCTTATCTCATTGGCCAGACACTGCACAAGGCCACTCTATCTGCAAAAGAGCCTGGGAAACATAGTTTTATTTATTTTTAAAACTAGGCATATTAACACGCCACTCGCTCTGGTACTTGTTAGTAAGGAAAATGGGAAGTATAAATACCAGGGAGATACTAATGATCTCTACCGCAGATGAAAACCTTGGCTGGGCGCAGTGGCTCATGCCTGTAATCCCAGCACTTTGGGGAGCCGAGGCAGGTGGACTGCTTTAGCTCAGGAGTTCAAGACCAGCCTAGGCAACATGACAAAACTTCATCTCTACCCAGAATACAAAAATTAGCCGAGCATGGTGGTACAAGCCGGTGGTCCCAGCTACGCGGCAGGCTGAGGTGCGAGGATTGCTGGAGCCTGGGAGGTCGAGGCTGCAGTGAACTGTAATTACGCCACTGCACTCCTGCCTCAAAAACAACAACAACAACAAAACAAAAAAGAAAAACAAAAGGAAACCTTGTGTTTAGTGTCCTGCAATGAGAATTGATCATTTTTCACTGTCACCAAAACACAAAGTTAAAAGTCTCCTTCAAAATCTCCCCCAAAGTGCTTTGTCCTCTTCCTAAGCTTGCTTTTCTTTAAGTAGTTCATTCTTTAAAATTTTTTTTGAGATGTCATCTCACTCTGTCACTCAGGCTGGAGTGCAGTGGCACGATAACCTCTGCCTCCCAGGTTCAAGCAATTCTCCTGCCTCAGCCTCCCGAGTAGCTAGGATTACAGGCGTGCACCACTATGCCCAGCTAATTTTTGTATATTTAGTAGAGATGGTGTTTCACCATGTTGGCCATTGTTGGCCAGGCTGGTCTCGAATTCCTGGACTCAAGTGATCTGCCTGCCTCGGCCTCCCAAAGTGCTGGGATTACAGGCATGAGCCCAGTTCATTCTTTCAACAATGTTTAAGCATCTTCCTATGCCTGGCACTGAGCTGGGCCTTGGGGCTACAAAGATGTCTAAGACTTTTCTCCCTGGAGAGCCTTACCATCTCTGGAGAGGGACAGAGAGCCCCTGAAATGATTACCATGTTCTAAGTGTTGAGACAGAGGCATGTTAATACCCTTTGGCAGCCCAGAAGAGAAAAGGGCAGAGGAAATGGGACAGAAAGGGTGAGGGGAGGACTGGCCTGGACGTCTAGAATGGATAGGATTTTTGTTTCCAGTTTAAGAGGGGTAGGCAATTTTAGGAAGAAAGAACAGCGTTGGAGAAGGAACAGATGTGTGTGAAAACCCCTGCTGGACAGGCTCAGAGGACAGCTCGAAATTGTGTGTGGATATACTGTAGGGTTTGTGGGAAGTGGAGTGGGAAAGGGGCTTAAAATGGGGCTGGAAAAGGAGATGGAACCTCCATGTGAAGGTATGCTGAGGAGGTGTGGCTCCATCTTGAGGCAGGAGAAGAGGGTGGGGGCGGGGGGCAACAGGAAGCTTTTAAACAATACCCAAACTCTGGTGTAGAAGTAAAAAGTGGAAAGAAGAGAACACAGGCAGGGAAACCACAATAGTGTGGTCAGACTGGAAGGATCGCAGTCAGTTCAGTAGGAAGCTTGAGTTTGAGTAGCCAAGTTCACAGACGGGAGGTAGAAAGGTAGCTGCCAGAGGCTCTGGATGGGGGTAAGGGTAGGGGAAAGAGGAGTTATTGTTTAGGGTGTAAAGTTTGTTTTCAAAGATGAAGAGTTCTGGAGACGGAGGGCGGTGATGGCTGCATAACATGCATATACTTAATACCCCAAACTGTACAGTTAAAAATGGTGAAGATGGTAAACTTTCTATTACGCATGTTTACAGTGACAGCGTTGAGTGCACGCAGACCCTGCTGGACTCCAGCCACAGAGCCCCTATTCAGCAGGGCTGAGTGGGGCCTGAGGATCTGCATTCTGCCAAGTTCCCAGATGATGTTGATGCTGCTGGTCCGGAGACTGCACTTCGGGAATCACTGGTGTAGGAGAGCGAGTGACTAGAACACTGAGGGGCGCTCTGCTCGCTTCCACGTGGCTGCTATTGTGATTAACGACAGCCGGCGTTCACTGAGCGCCGCTCCTGCAGCTGATCCCACAACTGGGTGAAGGAGCGGCGGGCGCGCAGGGCCAGACTCTGGAGTCTAAACTCGCTCCTCACTCAGGTTGTTCTGGACCTTGCTGGTTGTGACTGGGAGGGAAAGAGAGACCTAAGCAGGGAGACAGGCCCTCAGGGCCGGCCGAACCCATAGTGGCGGAGGGGCGCAGCCTCGCCTCCGGGAACCCGAGCGCCCGGGGCGCAGCGGGGAGGGGGCAGCTCCGGGCGTCCTGCGGGTCGCGGGACCGACTCCTGCCCGGGAAGTGCTCGGGGCCCGCGGCCCGCAGGGGGCGCTGCCGCGCCGTCCAGCCTCCGCCGCCCGGGCCGCCCTCCCAGCGGGCGCGCCCCTCCGCAGTCCAGCGCCGCCCGGCCCGGGACCCGCTCGCTCAGACTTCTCCGGCCGACAGAGGACGCCGACCGCTCGGGGCCGCCCCTGTGCTCGCCTGCGCGCCCGCTCAGCCAGCCGTCCGCGCCCCGGCGCCCGCATCCCGCCTGCGTTCGGGCGCAGAGCTCCCGCCCCGGGGACGCTTCCCGGCCGTCGGCGGACCCCGCGGCCCGCGCGCTCTGCGCCCCGCTCGCCCAGCAGAGGGGAGGGCGGCAGCCGGCTGGGGATGGGCGGCCCGGCTGTGCCCAGGGGCGCCAGGGGGCTCCGTGCACTGCTGCTGGCGCTGGTGGTCGCGGGAGTTCCCGCGGGCGCCTACAACCTCGACCCACAGCGCCCCGTGCGCTTCCAGGGCCCCGCCAACTCGTTCTTCGGCTACGCGGTGCTGGAGCATTTCCACGACAACACGCGCTGGTGAGTGTCCGCCCGCTCCGCGACCCCGGCCCGGCGGCCACCGCCCCGGCCGCCGACTTTCCGGCCTCTTCCCCGCCGCCGTCCCGAGGGGGCGATTTAAATGTCTCCGCTGCGCGCGGCTCGGCCGCCGGGGGACGGCGGGAGAAGGGAGGACACCGTCCGGGGCCGCGGAGGTCGGGGTCGGCGCCTGGAGGCGGGCGGGGCTGTCGCGCGCCTCCCCCGGGTCCCAGCCCCGAGCATGCGGGGAGCGCCGCTAGAGTTGCCTCTTGGACCGCCCAGCTAGACTCGGCTTCGCTCTCCGGATCGCGGAGTAACTTGGCTCCTCTGCCTCCGAGCGGCCGCGTGGGCCCGGCGAGCCTCCCGAACCTCGCCGGGCCTGGGGGAATCAGGGCACTGCAGCTGCACCCCTCCCCGGTTTTGGGGAACCTCTGAGGAAGGAGCGTAGCCTCTCCAGCGCCGCTGCGCGGGGTGGTGCTCCCCAGGGGCAGGGCGTCTGGGATCCCTCGGGCGCGCTGGAGCCCAGAGGCCCCCCTACCCCGACCCCTACAAGACCCTTGATGGAAGTGGGGTGGAGAAGCTCCTGGATATAGGGAAGAGGAGGGTAAGAGAGCACTTCCGAGTGACAGAGGTGGGGCGGGTAGGTGTTTCTTGGGGCAGCCTGAGTCTCTTCTCATATGGACCAATTCCACCTGGAGACTTTGACCAGAAGCCTTGAGAGAGAGATGTGTTTCTGTAGAGGCCAAGGGATTCAGTTGTCCTCTGAGCCCGGAGCGGTGGGCCTGAAGAAGGTGGCGGCTCTGGCTCCATTAAGCATCATCAGCTGAGTGGTACAGAGCTTGTGACCAACTCGAGTGGAGAAGCACGAAGAGGAGGTTGGTGCCCTCCTTGGCCACTTCCCCTGGCCCACAGGGATTAAATAGCCACACAGTGGTCACTTCTCGATAGGAGAGAGGGGCTGCGGGAAGTTCTCCGTTCAAGGTCATCCGTCAATGGGGACCCAGGTGACAGCCAGGCCGGGGTTGACTTTATTGTGTAGTCACCAGCCTGAGCGTCCTTAGGGGTGGCAGACAGGGAGGTCGAGGTCACTGATGCCGGTGCTCTCAGCATGAAGTTACGCAGGAGAGTCACTGCTCTGTATTGGACAGAGGCTGATGGAAAAGGGTGGTTTGTGGATCGCAGAACTCGAGCATTCCTGGAAAAGGGGACTCCGGGAGCAGCCCACTAAGAATCATGCTGTTTGGGAGATCAGCCTCCAAGAGAACCGGCTTTCAAAGTCCTCCCATAGCTCTCACCCACCTCCACATTCCCCTTCTCTGATTGACTCCACTTGCTGGGTTTAAGACCCAGTGTCTGTCTGTCCTTACAGTTGTCAATTTCCCCTTTTAAAGCAGAGCGGGCTGAAGGCTTTTTCTATGTCCTGCAGACTCAGGGTCTGCGACTGAAGAACACATCCCAGATCCCCGCACTAGGCACCAAGCACGCGGGAAGCTCTGTCACAAATGGTTGGGCTGCTGTCGACAGGGGGCTGTTGAGAAAGGGCAGGCAGCGGAGCAGGCAGCCAAGCCAGCCAGAGAGCATTGTGTGTGATCTGCAGGCTGAGGGTGGCTCAAGTGCCCGGAGCTCTCTGACAGCTAGAGGGAGAGAGGCCAGGCTACTGTCACTGTGGATTTGCATGGGCCACAGGTCAAAGCCACCTGGGCTGCGGAAGGAATGAGGAGGGCAGATCTGACAGAAAAGGTGTTCAGCCTACTTTGTTTTAAGAAGAGGATGAAGAAAAGCTGTGTGACGTGAGCAGATTTGGCCAGTGTAGGAAAAGACAGTCTGGTCTTCAACTTGGTACCCGGTGTAAATGGTAGGGAGTCGGTGTGGAGCTGGGCAGTAACGCTGTGCGTAGCCTTGTTGCCAGTTGAGATGTGGGACTGGCATTTCAGGGGTTCATGGGACCATACAGCTGGGCTGCCGGGCTCCAAAGTGCCCCCTCTCGTTCTGATGTAAGCTGGCCACTCTTTGTATTGGAGTGCTTGTCCCTGTAGCTGCTCAGGCACCACCTAAACTCTACTGAAATCTTTTCAAAAGAACTCTTCTTTTTCCTCCCCGCCCCCACCACATTGCCTTAACTTTTTCTTCTCCTCTTGATTTCTGTTCTCTTGATGTTGTTTTCAAGTATTTTCCTCCCCATCCTTTTTCTCTTTCCCCTTTCTCCCAATATTCTTCGTCCTAGACCTTGAATGTATTTTTTGCTGCTTACACTGCCCAGGCTTGGTAAGCTGCGGCCTTTGAAACGAGCGACTTCCAGCATCTTCTTCTTTCTCCTTTGTCTTTCCTCTAGAGGCTAGACTCACTGTGCGAGGCTGCTGAAACTTAAGCCAAAGGCTTCTAGCTTATGCAGGGTCCTATTAATTCCCTGTCCCCAATTTTATAATTGCATATTAATTTTCTTAAAGGTAGTCACCCTAAACGTATAAGATCAGGTCCTCTGAATTCTGGATTTGCCCTAAGTCTGTACCTTAACATCAACTCTGGGACTGGTTGCTTTTCCTGACTCTGTGGTTGGTTGATTGACTTAGTGACAGATTATTGGTTGCTTACTACTAAGTAGAACCTGAGCCCTGGATCTTCTAGCCATGCTTGAGGGACATGTTGGTCATTTTCAATGATTTGTGATTGCAAATAGCAGCAGGGTTAAACAACCTTTAAGGAAACCCTTGAGGACAATCTTAATTATTTCCTTTGAATAAATTTCTAGGCTTGGAATTGCTAGGTCAGAGAGGATGGCAGCTTCAAGGCATTCTCTGTGTATTACCAAAGTGCCAGTGAAGCGTGTGTACTTTAGAAAAATGCATTGATTTATTCAGACGCTGGAGGCTTGGAGTAGTTTTGCAAAGGGCTGCTCTAGTGCAATGGAAGAGGATAGAACCTACATGGGAGTGACTGAAAAGTATCAAATACTAGTCCTGAGTGAGGAAGGTAAAATACAGACATGCAAGGGAAAAGCAGTATAGCAAAACTTTGAAAGGAAAAGAAGACATGTTCACTGAGCCTTGTATCTTATGTCTCTCTTCTTGACGACATTATTCATGGTTACTTAATTCAGTATTTTGCAGTCTAAGACGTTTGCTTCATGCTAATCAACCACCTGTTTTACAGGTGAAAAAAATATGTTGTCTATAGGGAAAGGGAGGGAGAAGAATGTTCTGGAAGTGGCAGGAGGAGAGCCCAGACAGCAAAGTCAGCATGGACTCGGCAGGCGGCAGAACCTGTGGGTGTACATCTCACAGTATATGAATGTGCTCTGGTGGAACTAGCACTTCTCTGATCCTATAACTAAGCATTTCTCTCGATTATTTTGTAGCTCAAAATTGTCTCTAATCGGAGGGTCCTAGATCCCTGTGTAAGGGTGGGGGTGATCTTGCTTTTCCCAGCCCTGGTGACTGAACCCAGCTCTGCAGCCATATCACACTGATCACAGAGCCCCAGACCCAGCTTTTCTGAGTACTTGCTTGAGTGGTCTCTCTGTCACTGAGCTCTCGGCAGTGAGGACTGTCCCATGGCTAGATGGACCAGAATATCCTGGACAGTGTTCCAGATGATGTTTGTATCAGTTGGGATACAAACGTGCAAGCGATTCCATTTTCTTTTTCTCTAGTAACACCCAGCGAGCATCTGCCTGCCCAGAGCCGGCTTCCTCTCCTATAGCTCCCATCCCCGAGTCTTCTGGCACCCTTTGAACAACGACAGTAGGTGCCAGGGGACATGGACAAAGCCGATTTCTGTCCCCTTCCTTTAGACATGGACCAGTTCCTCAGCTGCAGGGCTGGCAACTGTAACACCCTGTGATATAAATAAACGCGGCCTGGCTGGCGTGCAGCCTCCAGAGCGGACGTCTTTCACATCCCTCCCCATCCCTCCGCCTCCTCTGCCCCAGACGCCCTGGAGTCCAAAGTGGTTGGGTGCACTGGCTTCCTTTCTGGAGACGTGCTTCCTGCTCCCTCTCCTGGGACACATCAAGACGGCGGTGCTCAGGCACAGAGCAAGTGCTCGGAAATGGAAGATGCACTGGGCTTTTTGCTTCGTTAAGGTTGTCGGAGCTTTGTTCAGTGAGGAATAGGAGGCGATTCCAAGCCGAGGAGAACATAACATCCCGATTTGGATGACGGTTGAGAATTAGAAGAACAAGTTCGACAGTTCTGGTGAGCTGTCTGATGTAGTCACCACTAGCCAGATATATTGCTATTTAAATTAACTAAAAATAAAATGTCAAATCCAGCTTCTCAGTTCCACTTGCCACATTTCAAGCAGTCAGTAGCCACATGGGGCTCATGGCTACCGTTTTCGACACAACACAGGGAGAACATTTTCATCATCATGGAAAGTTCTACTTGGCAGTGTGGGTTGAGAACAATGATGTCAGTCTTAGACACGGATCAAAAGGAGCAGTAAGAAAAAGAAAAATGAAGCTGTAGCGCATTTGAGTACTAAGACTGAAATAGACATCGATTTCAGTTTTACATCTGAAGTATTACAGTGCTTACATCTAACTAAAAATTGTTGCCCGCCGAAGAGGTTGAATTGTGTTTCTGCTCATAAAACACTGCAGGGCCTGGTCAGTGTTTAGGGCTTGGGGTTCAAGAATGAAGACTTTGCTTACAATCTGAAAGGTGAGAAAATTGTGGGGTTCTAGTCATGTGTCTCAAGTATAAGCTATAGGCTCTGATGGGGAAGAGGCTTGTCCTCAGGCAGGCATGGGTTCAGAGGGGCAGAAGAGAAACTCCTGTGAAAGGGAAACCTTTAGAAGGGGAGTCCTGGGGTCACAGACCCTGCTGCCCCTGGCCCTGCCAGTCTCTCTGAGGGGACACCCAGCAGTGCTGGTGGGAGCCCTGCCTTCTCATAACCTCCGTGGCAGCATCTTTGCAGAGTTCCTCTGTCCTGTGCCAGGCTCTAGGGGAAGGTGTAGTTCTACTTCCTTGTTTGAATTTTCTGGAAATGGCTTTTTCAGACCT